AAACAGGGAAACCACCCACAATTTCCTTTTGCAATTAAAGGATACACTACTCCTACACATGCATTATTTCTCAACATGAGGGAGAAAGGGATCTTCCAAATAGAAACAAAATCATAATCAGAGAGAGAGAGAGAGAGAGAGAGAGAGATTGTTGCTGTTCCACTGGCAATCCTGAATCCCACTCCCTTATCAAAATCTGGGCAAGATCCAAAGTGAAACCTCCTCTCTGCAAAATGATAGCCCAACTTCAATCTCTTCCATAATCAACTGAAATCATCTCTCTTATTACACCAAATCTATTTGAGTGACTAGTTTCAAAGCTATTCAACTGCCTTCTCCCCCGCCTTCAACCAACGACCCTACCTTACTACAGTCTACCCTGTGTATTTGTAAGCCAGCAAACCTACATGCTTCCATCTGTAACCAGATCTTTCTGAGAGTCTTTCCTTTCATCATTGGCCTTCCCACCCCATATCATGTGCAAGCCAGAATGTACTTATTTATTTTTGTTTGTTTGTTTTCATTTTTTTGGTACCGGGGATTGAACTCAGGACCCTGCGCTTGTGAGGCAGGCAGTGGAGCCACTGAGCTAAATACCCAGGCCAGAATGTACTTTACATATAAGGAAAAACAAGGAATTTTGTCTTTCCCTAAGATTCTTGTCTCTCCTCCAGCTCTGCAGATTACAAACTCCTGGAAGGCAAGGACACAAACAGACATAGACACACAGAAACACACATATGCATGTGTACATGTATGCGTGTGTGCACACATGCGTGCACACGCGCACACACACACACACACACACACACACATGCTTTATGTCTCCTAAAACCCAAGCAAGGGCTGCAGAGCCTATGGACACTCCATAAATGCTTGTGGTTGGTTGGTGATGTTGATGGTAATGATTTTAATAACTAGATGAGGCTTCTGAGTGGAACAGACTTTAATCATTGGGACGAAGCAAGAATTTATGACACGCCTTATTAAAATTCTAATTACATAACTAGGCCTTAAGGTATATATTTTCCCCTTTTGGTGACACATACTGATTTCCTCTCTCTAAAAATACCTTGGCAAAGAAATCTAAATCTCAAAGAACCAAAGTAGAAAATTTTCCACAGAACAAAAAAGACTAGTAAGAAACAAATCATAGCACTTTGGAAAGCCACAAAATGTAGATTTTAAACTCTGATACATCTTTAGTCTTTCAAAACAAAATGAGTTATAGTTTTACAGGGTCAGGAAAGTCTTTATGTTTGCAATTCCTGGTACCTTTGCCACTAACAACATAGAGAGCAGTTACAGGATCATCAGTGAACTCAGAGCCGAGATCTGGATCCTAGACTTCCTCCTCCCACCACTCAAAAGTCTATGACATAAGTGAACCACACAGTTCAACAAGGCCCCAGTATCTTTACTGGTAAATCTCTTGTGACCTATGCAACCCCCAGATTTAAAGATGCTATGAAAAAAGAAGATGCACTTGCTTCCAAGTCAGCTGACAGATAATAAAGTGAAAAGAAACAATACAGTTGTGGTGCTATAAAAGCAAAACAATCCCCTCAGAAGCAAAGAAGACAATCTGTAACTATGGAATTTTGCTCACAACATGAGAGCAATCATAGCCTGGTCAAACAGCCGTAAAATACCCAAACCTGCTGTGCTGGGTAAGTCACTTAGCCTCTTTGGGTCACCACTTCTTCAATCCCAAAATGATCTTTCAGGACTGATACACCCTCTGAGTCTATGAGCTTGAGATGCTTTTGTATAAGCCATGTAGTCCTTTCTTCATTGTTTTAATGATTTTCTGTTAATCCTTCAATCCATTCTATATCTTAACCATTGTTAGGGATGGAAATGACACTTCACGTTTCATTTATGTGTGGTTTCTACATTCTTTTCCCTTACTCAAGTTTTGCTATCATGAACCTTACTCCTAATAATCAAGAGTTAACTGTATAATAATGAACCCTCTAAGGTGACAAAAACAGTCAGTGCAGTGCTGCTGAAAAACAGAAGTTTTTAGCACTGAGCACAATGCTGACATTCAGCAATTATCAGTGATTACAAAGGTTCAAAACACTGAAAATTAAAATTCTGCAGAGAGCTACGAACAGGAAACATAGTAAGTTTGGTGCAGATAAGACATAACACTAGATTCCAACTGCCCAAACATCAGACAAAACTAGCCAACTATGGAACATGACCCATGACAAAGCAGTATCCAACTTATTGTGCCTATCCCGACTGTGCAAAAACTGTAGTTAATATGTGAGAGTGAATCTCTTCAAAAATCTCCCAGTAGGGGGGCCAGGGATTTAGCTCAGCGGTTCCGTGGCCTGCCTTGCAAGCACAAGGACCGGAGTTCAATGTCCAGTACCAAAAAAAAAAAAAATCCCTCAGTAGGGCTGAGGGTGTAAGTATAGCGCAGTGGTAGAGCATGTGCTTTAGATGGATGCAGTTCTGCGTTTGATCACCAGCACCATTCAAGAAAAAAACCACACTAGAGGGTCGGGGATTTAGCTCAGTGGTGCCGCCGCCTGCCTTGCAAGTGCAAGGTCCGGAGTTTGATCCCCGGTACCAAAAAATAAAAAACAAAACAAAACAAAAAAACACTACCACACTAAAACCAGAGCATCGTCCATTTGTGATAACTAACTCGTGAAGTATCCAGACCCTAGCCTGAAAAAAAATTTTTTAATCACTTTTTTCTGTTTATAGCTTAACATTTTGATTGAGTTTCATAGTCATCAGTTCTATGGCCCTGTAACACTGGAAAGTATAAGTATGAATAGGACTGGTGAAAATTTTGTAGGTGAATGAAAATCACTGTGGGCCACATAGACTTTTTTTCAAACCTATTTATGAGACCGATTCAATCACAAAATCATTATGAGTAGGGGCGTGGGTAGATGCACTGTTGGGAGATTTAAAACCACAAATGTGTTCAGGTAAGTTTAATAATCACTCTGGGCTTCATTTTCAAGTTTTAGCTAAAAGCCAAACTAGCCACACAAATGAAACTAGCTAGGAGGTTAATACTAGCAAGGTGGATGGGAAAATCACAAGCAACGTAACTCGCTAACAGAGAGTTTCTGCGAATTTTCCAAAGCTAGGTCCAAATTTGACAATGCAAAAAGGGAATAGAAAGTAGCTGAAGAGCGGGAAGAGGGACAAGGCCAAGGGTCTCTGGAAATGAGGTGCTCTGCCGCCTCCTAGTGGTGCAGCAATGGCTCCTAAACTCGGACAAGCACCTTGAATCTCAGCACTAGGACTAGAGGTTTGATTAAAGGCTCTTCCCTTCCTTTTTTTTTTTTTGGTACCGGGGTTCAAATTTGGGACCTCACGTTTGAGAGGCAGGTGGCAGAACCACTGAGCTAAAGCCCCGGTCCAAAGACTCTTCCCTTTCAAGTTAACAGTTTAGTGATAAATTTTTTGTGTGCTAAAAATGCCCTAAAACGTGTGGATTTATGATCTAAATTGGACAAACCACAGACAGGAGGTAGAACACTTCATTCCATAACAAACCAGAGAAGCCTCATCACCAGTTGGCCGAAAAGATTAGCAGCTCTGAGAAAACTCAATTCTGGATTTTTAAAACCTCAAATGCTTTAACTTCCAAAATTTAAAAATAAACAGGGCCAGGGGTTCCGCCACCTGCTTTGCAAGCACAAGGTTCAGAGTTCGATCCCCGGATCCAAAAAGAAA